AATAAAAGATATTTAAGGTGACTTGTTTACTAGCTTCAGGCAAGTTACTATGATATCTCAAAGGGCAATGCGTTCAACATTGTCCAGAGAAGCTGTGAGTAAGTTATAGAACCTCGTGAGATGTGACAAAGAAGTTGGGAGAGAAACAAGTCAAATTCTTCTCGCTGCAATTGACGGTGTCTATCATCAAAGTACTGTACTATGGTTTGTGTTATTTCTTACTCCCTAATGGACTTCACCCCTCAAGAATTGTAGTAGTTTCGCCCACAAAGTATATAGTCACTACACTTTACAGTATATTCTGTGAAGTGCTTTGAGACATCTCGAAGATAAGGGTTCCAGGATATTGATGCAATGCCGATGAAGGAACTGCAGTACATGTCCAAGTTGGGATATATAGTGATCTGGAAAATAGTTTGGAGGTACCATAGTTCTTGTTGTAGTTAGTGAAATACTCAGAGTAGATTCAGTAGATATGTACGTTCGCTCTTCACGACAATATAACTGTCTCCAAAGGCAGGCTGCTCTTTCTCTTCTCTCTTCCTATCCTGGAGTCCTGTCGCATAATGGTTAGCACTCTCGCTTCACAAGTGAGAGGGCTGGTTTGATTCCCTGGCGGGGTGAAACCTTAGGCAAATTTCATGGCACAACCCCCCTCTGTTTACTTAGCAGTAAGTGGGAACCTGGTTGTTTGTCAATTGGTGGATTGCTTTCTGGGGGTTATAATCCCTCCAAACAAAAAAATTTGGTCACTCAATCTACAACTGTTTGTGGGACATTGTTGTGCGCAATTGGTTGCTGAGTTTCACCCATAAGTATACACTTTATAATATACTGTATTCTGTGAAGTGCTTTAAGACGTTTCAATGACTTGATAAGGCACAATATCAAATCCAAGGATTATTATTGGTAGCGTAGTAGTAGTAGTGAAAGCCACAGGACTGGTAGCTGCTGTTGAAGCCGGGTACAAATGTTACCTGTCACTTGTTAACCCAAGCCCTGGACATTATTTCCCAAATGTTAATTCTAACTCAATAAGCGTTTTCACAGCTATTTGCTATTTAGAGTATCCTTTATATCATCCTCCATTCAATACTATATGTGTTCCTACCTAATCTAAGTCTTGTTTCAGTTAATGATAATGATGGCTATGTCTCCTTTTACATTTGTGCATACATTACAACACATAATTACACTTGTATTGCACCTTTCACGTCGGGAGGACATCCCAAGGCACTCTGTCACAAGTGTTTTCTGTGTATCTATATATCTTGTTTGCTTCTGTGGAGATTAAGTTGAAAAGTCAAGTTGGAGTTGATTCTTTCAACTATTCAAAAGCAAATATTTCATTGTGCTTCAAAGTTATTGACTTTTCCTTTTTAAAGCCAACAACAAAACACATTTTGGAACCCACTGTCGAAATCTTTCTTCATCTGCCTGCACTAATTTAATCATTCTCTGTCTTACAGGTGGGAAGTTGCATTCTGAGGAGGGTGGTGTCTTTTGCAAACAGAACATTACATTTAACATCTAATTCAATGATGATTAACAGCGAAAAAAGTAAGTCATAGAAGTATATAAGTGCAGCAATAAGATGACAGATACACATTTATCTTAATAATAATCCTTGCATTCTATTTAGTGCCTTTCATGTGAGGAGGACATCTCAAAGTGCTTCACAAAAGTGTAGACTATTTACCCTATTCGTAGGTATTCATGGCCGAATGTTAGCATCCTCTAAGCAAATAAATATTAAATGTAACTGGACGACAATGTGAATGTGTATTTGAGATGTATAGAATGCATAGGGAAATAAAAAATCATATAGTAGCATGAGATTTTCTGCAGTTAAATATACGCTTTGTTTTGTTTGCAATGATATAATTATGCAGGATTCAAGAGTGAGATTTCACATCATTTAAGTTGTGACAATTTAAAATTTCTGCATTTACCAATTAAAGTATTTAAAAAGTTTGTGCAGATGTTGGGCATGAGATTACTAGGGACTGATTCTACAGAGACTGAGCGGCCTGGGTAACTTTGCATGCGTGTACACAACGTTTTTTGTTGTCACACGCAGGTAGTTACTCTCATTTATTGCCACAAAGAAAGACCTAAAACTCTTTCAAAAAAGTTCTCTCTGATGAGTGAAATTTGTGATTCAGGTCTCTATAATACAACAACAACCTGCATTTATATAGTACTTTTCACGCGGGATAGTGTCCTGGTGCACTTATAATAATATAATCCTTGCATTTGTTATAGAGTCTTTGAGACGTCTCAAAGCACTTCACAGAATATACTGTAAAGTGTAGTGACTGTGTGTTTTGAGGGAGAAACGAGGCAGCTAATGGTGCACAGCAGTGTCCCACAGTCATGGGTTGAGTGGCCAAATTATTATTATTACTTTTTAAGGGATTATTACCACTTGAAAAGCAATCCTCCAATCATGTAACAGCCGGGTTCCCCTTACCGCTAAGTAAACACAGGCGTGTAGAGTAAAAACACTTGCCCAATGTTTTGTCCTGTCCAGGAATTGAACCCAGGCCCTCTCGCTTGTGAGGCGGATGCTCCAATCACCACATTAGAGGACTATGAACCTGCTTCAAAGATTTTTTTTCCATAAAATAAAAATTTGGGTATTTTGCTATTTTTCAGGGTGTGTTTTTGTGTTACAAAAACTGGAGTAAAATGGAGGAAGAAATGACACAAAAATCTGTAAACTCCATGAAAATTTACTTTGCAAATCATAATTGGAGTCCTGTAGCTCAGTGGTTAGAGCACTCGCTTTGCAAGTGAGAGACCTGACTTCAATTCCAGGCAGAGGGCGAAACCTTGGGCAAGTTTCCTTACTCCACACAGAGCCTAATAATAATCCCTCCAAAACCAAAAACAATAATAAATTGGTCATTTTCAATCTACGACTGTTTGTGGGACATTGCTGTGCGCAATTGGCTGCCGCGTTCGCCCACAAATACAGTCAATTCACTTTACACTGTGTTCTGTGAAGCGCTTTGGGACGTCCTCCCGACGTGAAAAGCGCTATATCAAATGCAAGGATTATTATTATAATAAGAAAAGTATTTTTTTGGACAAACATACCTATCTGAACATATTACTAAATACAAAATAAACAAATAGATGCATAAATAGACAAAAAATAAAAACAAACGTGAGGATAAAGGTGTTATATTTTTTATTGATAAATACAAAAGTAAATATCTATATAAAAAAATAGATAAATATATAGCCACTTAAATATACAGGAAATAAACAGATATATAACAACTATTACATAACATCCTTCACGCGGGGCAGCAACCCAGAGAATTTCTATAAATAAATACATATAATAGAGGGATGTAGTGAGTGGGTAACGAATGTAGTGGGGGTGTAGCGACTCTGTGGGGGTGTAGTGACTGTGTGGGGGTGTAGCGACTCTGTGGGGGTGTAGTGACTGAGTAGTGAGGGTGTAGTGACTGTGTCGTGGGGGTGTAGTGACTGGTTGTGGGGTCTAGCGACTGTGGGTGGGTGTAGTGACTGTGTGTGAGGGTCTAGTGACTGTGTGGGGGTGTAGTGACTGTGTGTGAGGGTGTAGTGACTGTGTATGGGGGTGTAGTGACTGTGTGTGAGGGTGTAGTGACTGTATGGGGGTATAGTGACTGTGTGTAGGGTCTAGCGACTGTGGGTGGGTGTAGTGACTGTGTGTGAGGGTGTAGTGACTGTGTGGGGGTGTAGTGACTGTGTGGGGCAAGTGTAGTGAATGTGTGTGGGGATTTAGTGACTGTGTGTGGGGGTGTAGTGACTGTGTGAGGGTGTAGTGACTGTGTATGGGGGTGTAGTGACTGTGTGTGTGGGGGGCAGGGGAAGGGTGTAGTGACTGTGTGTGTGTGAGGGGAGGTGTAGTGACTGTGTGTGTGGGGGAGAGGTGTAGTGACTGTGTGTGTGGGGGGCGGGGGGAGGGTGTAGTGACTGTGTGTGTGGGGGTGTAGTGACTGTGTGGGGTGGGGGGGTGTAGTGACTGTGGGTGGGGGGGGTGTAGTGACTGTGTGGGTGGGGGGTGTAGTGACTGTGGGGGTGGGGGGGGTGTAGTGACTGTGTGTGTGGGGGTGTAGTGACTGTGAGGGGTGGGGGGGGGTGTAGTGACTGTGTGTGTGGGGGTGTAGTGACTGTGTGTGTGGGGGTGTAGTGACTGTGAGGGGTGGAGGGGTGTAGTGACTGTGGGTGGGGGGGGTGTAGTGACTGTGAGGGGTGGGAGGGTGTAGTGACTGTGTGGGGTGGAGGGGTGTAGTGACTCTGAGGGGGAGGGGGGTGTAGTGACTGTGTGGGGAGGTGTAGTGACTGTGAGGGGTGGGAGGGGTGTAGTGACTGTGAGGGGTGGGGGGGTGTAGTGACTGTGTGGGGGAGGGGGGTGTAGTGACTGAGGTGGTGAGGGGTGTAGTGACTGAGGTGGTGAGGGGTGTAGTGACTGAGGTGGTGAGGGGTGTAGTGACTGTGAGGGTGTAGTGACTGTGAGGGTGTAGTGCCTGAGGGTGTAGTGACTGTGAGGGGTGTAGTGACTGTGAGGGTGTAGTGACTGTGAGGGGTGGGGGGGTGTAGTGAGTGTGTGGGGGGAGGGGGTGTAGTGACTGTGAGGGGGGAGGGGGTGTAGTGACTGTGAGGGGGGGGGGGTGTAGTGACTGTGTGGGGGGAGGGGGGTGTAGTGACTGTGAGGGGTGGGGGGGTGTAGTGACTGTGTGGGGGGAGGGGGGTGTAGTGACTGTGAGGGGTGTAATGACTGTGTGGGGGGGGGGGGGTGTAGTGACTGTGAGGGGCGGAGCCGCCGCCGCCGGAAGTCTCGTGCCAGTGCCGTTGGGAGGAGACGGGGTCTCGCGAGACTCGGCCCCCAGCGGCCGCCATATTGTTTTGTGGCCTCGGCCTCAGTGCGCGGCGGAGAAAGGAGCGGAGCCGCATGTGCCGCCGCCCCCACCTCCACCTCCCGGGCCGCCCCCACCCCCACCCCCACCGCGGAATGAGAGGCTGAGAGGAGGAATGAAAGGCGGTGAGTGAGGAGCGGCCGCTGCGGCTCGAGAGAGAGAGAGAGAGGGAGGGAGGGAGGAGGGGATGTCCCGCCGGCTGTCGGGGCCCAGCTCTGTGTGGGAGGCGCCGCCGCTGTGACCGGGGAGGGGGGCCCTGTCCCTGGTGTGTGTGTGTGTGGGTGTGTGTGAGGTGAGGTGAGGCCTCACGGCCCAGGTCCCCACAGGCAGCCCTCGGCCTGGGTTGGGGCACAGCCGTTTGCCGTTCTGTGCCCAGTGTTTTGGCGGCAATTAAAAGGCCTTCACTGCATCACCCGGTGTCGCCCCCCGGACACAGCTGATCCTTCAACACACTCCGTGTCATCACTGTCTTCACAGAGTGACCCACTGGGGGACTATCCCCCCCTTGAAAACCAATCCCATCTGCGTTCACATCCCGACACAAGCCACGCAGCAGTGTTTGCACTTATCATTGTTTGATCAGTGAGGTGTTGTGTTTCCTTTTTCGCCTTTGCTGTCAGCACAGTATCTGGTTGGTTTGGGTCTGTTTTGTCAAAGACCCCGACAGTGCTGAAGTATTGAGCTTCGCTGCGCTGATGACAGGAAAGCTGATTTTGCAAAACATGGACAATCCATGACTGAAGTTAAATCGCTCATAATAGCAGAGAGAGTGAGCGGGGTGGGTGGGGGGGGGTGAGGTTTTATTAATATTGTATGGTTATTAATTGATTTGTATTTAATATTCCATAATTATGCACACTACACAATGTTGCACCGATTTCTGCCATGACTGATGCTTCATTACTGCAGGGCGAGGATGCAGTTTGCATTCATGTCAGTGTCATTCTAAATTGTTCAATAGTTCATAAATGTGTTGTCTTTGAAAATAGGTGACTAGCTATGTGATTACATTTTCCGTTATTAGTTTTTATCTATTTATACATTATTATTTGCTGCTAATTGAATATGTTTTTCGTCTTTTGTGAGAAGGGGAATTGGAATGTAGTACATTATTCCATTTTGCATTATTTATTGCTAGAAAATTAAAGTTAGCTTTATTTTAGACTTGCTTCTAAAGATAACCATATTTTTGACTGAATCATACCTTATGATCATTTACTGCAATCTCAAACTTGTGTCATTTAGAAGAGAGAATTTTCTTTAGTGCTGTAGCGTAGTGGTTCGAGCACTCGCCTCGCAAGCAAGAGGACTTGGGTTTGATTCCTGGTCAGGGCGAAACATTGGGCCCGTTTCCTTACTCCATATGCATCTGTTTACCCAGCAGTATGTAGGAACCCGGTTGTTAGTCGATTGACGGATCTCTTTTCTGGGAATAATAATCCCTTCAAAAAAATAATAACAAATAATTAAAAAGTAATAATAATTTATTCACTTAATCCACGATAGTTTGTAAGACACTGTTGTGTGCAATTTGTTGCCCGTTTCGCCCACAAATTACAGTCAATTCACTTTGTAAAGTGTATTCTGTGAAGCGTTTTGAGATGTGATAAGACCCTATATCAATTGCAAGGATTATTATTATTAGTCAGAAATGTTTTAATTTACAAGGGCTAGAATGAGCAAAAATCCATCTGATAAAACTGTTTTAGGGACAATTTGGGAATAATCAGACTGTCATTTGTGGTATTGGCAGGGTATGATCCAGGATTACCCCTGTAGCTTTGCTGGATGCTTTAGAAAGTGTGCTCAGATAGACAAGATATGATGCATTGGATAAGATCACAGCTGTCTTTCCATATAACTATGAAAAGTGAAAATACAAGCAGTCTAGAGAGACAGGTTTGGTATATACCAGAATTCATACCCATGTTTCTCAACATCATATGTTAACAAGTACAATAGAATTTTTTGACTGGACTCAGAATTCATTTTATAAAAATTAAACCCAAAAGCTTGGATAGCTTATTAAAAACAAATTTAGTTCTTTATGTTCTGTTTTGAAACCTATTTCTACAAATTAATGATTAGTTGGATGCAACATTTTCTTCCTCATTACAGAATTATGGCTCTGAGTACTGATAGTATTTTGTCCAAGCTGATCGGGGGGTGGGGCAGGATACGTGTAAGATTCTCTCCTTATGTAAAGTTCTTGCATGTGTACTTTCGAAAATAATACAATAAGAAATTCATCCTGTTTTTTTTTCTGCCCCTACCTAACGCATGAGGGATCTAAAGTGTATTTTTGGGTCGTCCATGAAATGAGTCAGCCAAGATTGCCCATTTCACCAGAATGATGTACTGGTAGAATGTCTGCGAGACATCAAGTGTTGGATGAGAGCTAACTTTCTACAGTTGAACGTCAATAAGACGGAGGCCCTCCTGATCGGCTCCCGTCAGCGCCTCCACACCTCAGGCATCACCATCCAAGGATACACACTCCACCTCACTGAGTCAGTCCAGAACCTTGGCGTCTTGTTTGACCCTCAACTATCCTTTCTACCCCACATCCAACACATATCCTGTGCCATGACCCGCTCTGCCTTCCCCCACCTCTGCAACACCACCCGGCTCTGCAGGCCGCTGAGATCCTCAAACACTGCATTCATAACATCCAGGCTTGACTATGCAAACTCCCTGCTCGTTGGCCTCTCCAACTCCTCCCTCCATAGGCTGCAGATCATCCAGAACTCAGCAGCCCGTGTCCTGCCACACACCAGTCTCCGTGACCCTATCATCCCCATTCTCACCAACTCCACTGGCTTCCCATCACACAGAGGATACAGTTCAAGATCCTGGTCCTAACCTTCAAAGCCCTCAATGGCCTTGCTCCCTCTCTAGCTCTGCAAACTCCTTACCCCCTGCCAACCCGCCTGCCCCCTGTGCTCAGCGAGCTCTGGCATGCTTCATGTCCCCTGTCTCACCCGCCCCACCATTGGCAGGCAGGCTTCAGCCACATTGCCCTCACCCTCTGCAGTCCCTCTGACTCGCCCCCTCCCTTGCCTTCTTCAAGACTGCTCTCAAGGCCCTCCTCTTCAACCGTGCCTTTGATCACCCTCCTTCTCCCACTGCCCTCCACCCTCCCCAATCCCGACCTCCAGCTCGGGTCCGAAACACTGATTGCCTGGTGCCTTGGGACATCCTCCTGACGTGAAGGGGGTATACAAATGTAATTTTGTTGTTGGTGAAGTTCCTTCTGATTGTCCAGCTATCTACCCTTTAGATAGATTGCATGATTATTGAGAACAGATTGGAAATAATCTTATTCCTCAGTGATGTGTTTCCCTGTCCAACTAACACCGATCAAGAGACTACTTAATCGTCCACAGGGCCCTGGAGTACTCTGGACATCTATTGTTCAGGTATTAGATCACCAAATCCACCACAGTGTGGTGACTCTGAGTTAACTTTGCTCTCCCTGTATCAGAAGTGTCACCAGTTTGATCCCAGAGAATGTGTTTACCTTCTCGCTTCTGCTTGAGATAGTCACAAGTTGGTCACAAGTTGGTCAGGCAGCTAGCATAAGCTTGAACTTGCACTAGATGGAAAGCTGGTAACTGGAATTCTTCCTGAAAATATTCTTAATTGCTTCTTTAACAAAAAGTGGGTCGCTATTTTTGTGTGTAGGGGAAACACACATACCAGCGAGGCGACAGGAGCTCACCACCTCTTGTCTTTCAGGATCGGCCCTCACAGTGACCCAGAGAGAGAGAGAGAAACACACACAACATTCAGAGACCCAGAGAGAGACACTCAGAGACCCAGAGAGAGACACACACACACTCACAGATGGAGAGAGACACACATTCACAGACACAGACACGTTCTCAGAGAGAGAGAAAGACATACACACACTCAGACACAGAGACATACATCCACAGACAGAGAAACACGTGTTCACATAGACACTCATAAATACACACACATATAGAAGAGACATAGATACTCATATAGAGACACACATACAGACAATCACCGAGTGAAACCCATTTGTCGCTTGCGCTGCATTGCGCATGAATGTCTGGAGCCACTCCGCCCTCAGTGATGTCAGGTAAACAGCGTGAGTGGCCCGTGGGCCAGAAACTACATTTATGGTGGATTTGTAGCGGGCGAGGGCCATTGTAGCGGAAAAGTTGTGGCAGTACTTTTCTATTGGCTCAGCTCATCAGTAGTAACAGGTGGGAACCTTCAACTGTAGTTACTTACTGCTCTGAATTTGGAAACCCAAAAATTCTGGGTACAAGTGTGTCTGAAACCCATATTGTATAATGCTTTCTAGACACTATTACCCAAGCCCATTTGCTTATCGTTCTCATGACAAACACCTGCGCACCATTTGGTGCATTTGTTCATCAAGGGGAGCATCATAATTTTCATTTTTATGAAAATAACTTGTAGAAAAATAACTTTTAATCAGTATTGGGACATAATATATTTTAGTGTGTTCCTTTGTGTCCTTTCCTTTGCTGTCATTACTTTTTTGATTTTAATTCTTCTGTTCTTGGAGCTCATTGTTTCCTTCCTCAATGATGTTGTTGCCCTTTTCAAAGATCATGTCCGCATGTAACAAATATTGAATAACAAGAAGTATTTTCAACAACTTCTAAGTTGATCAGGTATCTGCAGATGCAGCAGTTAGGATGATTATACTTGTATTGGTGATTTCCTATTCTCACAAATCTGATGTTCTACACAGTTGTGTATTGAAAGGTGTAAAATTGATTAAGGGTTATAAACATGCTGTTTTTTTTAGTGCCTGACTTCTGCATTGATGGTTTTGCTTTGATTACTTACATTGGATTTCTTGTCTGAATAAATAGGTAGTTTTTCAGACAGGTTAGTTCTAAACCAAGACAGGTCCAGGTGGGAATTATGACTGTTGTGGACGATTAGTCAAGGCGGCTCCATATAGGCTAAATATGTGCTGTATAATGTGTTCCGACCAATTGAAATTTGTTCTATGAATGATCTTGTTCACGCTTTCCTAACCTTGCTCTGGTATTTAGTTTGCTTTAGGTAATCTGCTGATGTCTTCGGCCAAGATCAGTGAATTGCCATGAAAACTTGA